GACTGAAAAGCAATTGTGAAAATTGTGCAAAATATAGAGATGACATTTGGCCTCGAGCAGATGTGAGACTGTTGGGTGTGGAAATTTTCAAGTGGAATGTGGATCCCAGTTCTTGACAGACAACATACCACAGCTTTCCAGTGAGTCAACGTGACAATGATGCAGCATGTACCATCGTACGAGCAGGGCCCAAACGTGACGTCAAATCACACTTTAGTTCTCTTTATGATATGCCATAAACACAGTCCTAAAATAAGTCCAATAATTATTTATGTTATTTATCTTTTGATGGCCTTCTTTGTGTCCTGGCAAAGAGACATCCCTCTAATATGCAAACAGATAGATAGTACAGTAGGTAACCATCACACGAGTAATACTTGTGCTGCATGCACAGTCCATAAAATTAAACCTTTATGACTTAGTTTTAATCATGTCTTTACTTCTCTGTTAAAATCAACCGAGTATTATGAGGAAAACTCACTTAACTTCCTTCTGTCCTATCATGATGTTACCTTTTAGCTTTTATAGAAAGACCTTTTTTATTGTTTATTGTGCAGAACACAGAAGTATACCACATATATGAATTGGAACTTATGGGTTAGCATGACTGTTACTCTCTTTTACTCAGCATACCTTAGAGTAGTGCTTTCACAACACAATGATACAGTAAGGAAGTGAGTGAGTGCATATGACTTGCTGTAATTTACAGTCTAGATTAGATAACGGGCCCTTTTTACTAACTTCAACACTTTGCAACAAAATACAAAACTGTTTATCTGAGTTTATCAGCCCCCACAACTTTCGCTAAACAATCTTTTTGCTGTGAGGCAGCAGTGCTGATCACTGCACCTCTTGTTTTAAAAACTTAGAGTAACAATGATGTGAAACTTGAGTTTTAACTCACACCCTATGTTGCAACCTAGACACATCATTAGTGGTGTAACCTCTGGTTTTTCAGGTCTTTCAATATGATCCGCCCTTGTCTAGACAACTCAGTCAGGGGTAACCAGTCCCAACTTGTATAAAGGTAGCTTGTGGGTTCACCCTTTTGGTCCACAACAATCTTGGTGCCTTTTCAGCTGCATCAGTGATGTGCCTGATGGCTATCTTGCTGTGCAGTTCCCTGATCCCCAGTAGCTTGATAGACCTGCAGAGTGGCTCTCTGGAAAACTGTTGGCTGCTGACCTCATTCGGGGAGGAATGTAAGCTTCCCTCTTCCTCTCAAATGCCACTGACATCCCATCTTCCCAGCGAGCAGTCAACTCCAGGAGGACTACCTGCCTCGATGGCTCTGTCATTAGAAGAATGTTAGGCCTGATGACAGTCACACCTATCACCTGGTTCATTGTCTGCTCCCCTCCACACCCTGTTGCATCTCAGCCGTTCTGCTCAAGTGGGTTCCCTCAACACCTGCTTGGATCACTTCCTGGACCACCCAGCTTCTGTCTTTCCCTGGATCTTGTGACATTGATGTTCTTGAGTATTGACAAGTCCTGCCTATCCTGTCACTACCAGCAAACTGTGCCACAGCCACTCATTAATCTGATCAACAAACTCTTTACGATAAATTTACAACACAACAATACCAACAACATTCTGGAAATTAAGCCAACTGAACACAAAAATAAAAACTAAATAAGATAAAAACAAATGAAAAATAAGTCTCATAACACAGAACAAATACTGTCATAAACTGATGGTGTTTTCCTAAATATTTCCAGTTTTCTTTACTTTTGAATATCCTAAAATACTTCAAGAGTCCGATTAGTATTTTTAATATTTGTCACATTTAGAATAATCTTTTATTTCTTTTTGTCATTTTCAGTTTTCATCTCCTCCGCGACTATAGAATTAGATGCCGAAAGAGGTGCAGGCTTCATCAGGCTGTTACTTAACAAGTCTTCATGGTCTCTGTCATTGGTTTATATACTTGCAGTGTGTCTTAATTTTTCCATGAAGTGGACTATATCAGTTGGATGAATTATTCTAGTTGCTATTAAAGACACAGCACCTCTTCCTTAGTGACCAGCACTAGTGTTCTCTGCACCCTTTTAATACACAGAGGAGAACCAGAGTTATGTAGGAGGGTTATTAGATTTATGAGGGGATGTGTTTTGGTTGTTCTTGTTTATTAGTGTGTCGGGCCATCTTGGACTCTTCAAACAGTGCTGCACTTTCTTTCCTTTTCTTTAATGACTTAGGCTGAATTATGCATGTGTACTGCTTGACCACAGGGCATTAAGGATAATGCGTTTGGCCATTTATCTTTAATGGATATCCATATGCATATGGGTAAATAGAGAGCGATTCCACTCGGAAATTCTCAGTACAGAGATGAAAAAAAAAGAGTTTATTTTCAAACTTAATTTTTGTCCATTAAGATGACAAGACAAGAATATAAACCACCAACTCAAGTCCCATTAGTAAACTCTTTGCAGAATTAGGACAGCCATTAAGTTCCCGGTGAAAAATAAGCATTAGAGTACATGGATGCATTATTCTCTGCTGCGCTGTAACCGAATCAAAAAGCTGCCCCTGTCTGTTGTAATGAATAGAGGGTATTGGCTTTTCTTTATTTGAGTGTTTTAAACCACATGTCTCTCTGTAAAAAAACAAAACAAAACCCAACAACAGGTGAAATGACACTTATTTGAATGTGATAAAAATGATTTGTTTATGTTTGCTTAAGGACACAAAGTTCCCCATTGTTCTCTGGAAAAATACAAAGAATAGAATTGCTGGATGAGAGTTTAATGGTTATTAGCTGCAGCACTATTATACACTGTGTGTGCTTATTTTATTGTGTTTGGAAAGTAATGGCAGCATTTCTAGGCAACAAAAGAAAAACAGGGTCAACAGACATCCATTGTATGTTGTGTTAAATAATTAGCCCTGGCAGTGAAGGGCAAACATTCAGCCAGGTGATCAGCTTAACATTTAAACGCTTTAAACGTCCACTTGAAAAAAGAATTGGGCTCGAGGATGAAAGATTTTTTTTCGACTATTATAAGTCTCCCTATGTTCATCATCAGGGGTTTTTCTTCAAATTACAACCTTATAAAAATGGTATTAGTGAATACGTCCATTGTGGATCCTCTTTAATTAATACACTCAGAAACCTTCAAAAATAGCTCAGGTTGTTCTTTGGTCTAAGTACAAGTGTCCCCAGGGTTGAAGGTGCTTGTGTTATGAGGTATGTTGTGTATGATATAATTTTAATCATCACACTAGGGCTGTGTAGTACTTACAAACCTACTGTCAGCTTCTTCTTATTCACAGATGGATACTGTTTCTGATGCAACCCCCGAGGGACTTGTGTCTCCTCCTGAGATTGAAACACAATGGAAATTTCTGGCACAACTTCACCTATTGCTAAGTTTGTGGAGAAGAGCAGAAGAGGTTGAAGCTACAGCAACAACTTTATTACTTGACCAATGCAGATGTCGTCATCCCAGAATTGAACCAGGGATATTTCCCTTGAAATGTGTAAACCATTACACTACAGATGCTCTCAATGTAATGGTTACATTATTTTTTCACCTGTGAGAAGTTTATGGAGTTTATTGCACTGCATTTCCTGAGACTAGAGTACTTCAGCACCACATTCATACAGGCTATCTCTTTTTTAAAAATGAGCCAAGGGAGACATTAGAAATATTTCCTTTTTTGTATTTTATTAAAAAAATACCAACACAACCGAAAAGGAAAAAAAAAAAAGATATGTGCATTTAACAAAGAGAAGAAGATATACATACATTCTGAGTTGAATGAGAACATTATGCTTTGTGTACAGTCGTGCTGTATGTGCCTCAATCCCACAATCAAAACAAAACATCACAGTAAAAGAAAAAGAAAAATAAGTTATCGGATTCACGGCTGTATTGAAAAAGCAAAGGAGTGAGGAATAATAAGTTTCTTCAGTGCTGCTGTGTAAACCTTAAAATGCTAATAAGAGTTCTCAGGTGTGGTGACTTGTCCGGGAAACTGAGCAGCGTACGCAAAGGTTTGACTGGCATAACTTAAATAACAGCTGCACGACGTAGAGGTTAGCCCACCTCTATTAAAACACCTCACTTAACATGTAGTAAGTACCACATTCACAGCCAGCAGACAACAATCAAAAACCGTAGCTCTCATATTTCCATAAATAAATAAAATAATCTATTACCTATTTACAGTGTTTCTCGATTAAAATTTACAAACGTAAAAAGACGACACCAAGATATATTTACAGAAAATATATACAGAAACAGTTCATAGAGCTGTGTAAGAAATCATCTACAATCACTTTTACCTTAATTATCTTCATAGCAAGAAACAGAAAAAAAGAAGAAGAAAAAAGGATTTTCAAGCATTTTCTTCATTTTGGTTAACTTCAGAAAACGTAGCAGCTTTGGTGATTTACAGTGTAAACCATATGTAATCCACCACACTCATATCTTATGGATTCAAACAGAAAACATTAGAGATGACGGCAATATAAATGACTGACTGTCAAGCTCTGTATGCAGGATAACAGAAGGCTATATATGATGCTGTGAAGACTATCAGTGGAGTGCGATTACTAAGGCATTTACTGTATGTGCATCCATAAACTTCACTAACCTAAAAGAGTGTGACTGGAAGGCTTACGGGAGTGTTAAGACAACATGGTTTAGGCTTTTCAAGTTAAGCTCGTAAATCGGCACCTAAAGGTGTTGTAACAATCTGTATCTTTTTTTTATCTATGTTTTTTAGGCATAAAAAACATAGATCGCATCAAAAGAATCACGGCTCCAGGACTAAGAACATCATCTACTGAAACTATCCAATAGTCCTTCATTTAGTAATAATTTAGTGGTCGGACTGCTTTATGCCCTATTTTCCTAAGTTTCAAAGATTGTTTCCTTTTCTTTCAACCCTTTTGCAGGCTTGGACGGCACAGTGCTGAGGTCAGAGACATAAGCCACACAATGAGGTCAACGGAGAAAGGGAATGATGTTGTTAAGCAGCGGTTCTTGTTTCCAGCACTTCAAATAAAACGAGTTTTTTCTTCATTGGCAGGTCAAGCCATATCCGTGTCATCCATGCTCAGCATTTGCCGCTGGTAAAAAAAAGGAGCAACATCGTATGAGCAAAGCTTTCAAACTGATTAATTAATCTTTATTTTTTTTAGAAACAATATTTCTAAAATGGTTTTAGGTTAAGATACCTCAGGATACACGTAGCCGTCAGAGCCATTCCTGCAGATGTGTAACTCATCCTCGGTGGTTTTCTGGTACACGGGATTGTCAAAGTGAATGGTGTTGGTGTTCTTCCTATGCCAGTGTCTCCAGAGGTACATTGCTCCAAATACCAGAAGAGCCAAAATCACTGCAGAAGAGAAGAGTTACAATGCCATTCAATGAAAAAGAGAGCAGATTAAGTATCCTTGAGTAAGTGAGCAGGTTTAAGATATCATGTTTTGTTTCACAGAGAGCTGTGAAGAGCTAAAAAGTAGGACTTACTCAGTGGCAACACAACGTAGAGAGCAACAGGGTGGGAGGGTGGGGCTTCTTCAGGCTGCACGGCTGCTTGTCTGTCACCTGCAAAAGCAGAAAATAAATGTTTTCTTCATACAGTCTCTTAAAAAACAATAACATCTTATTTGACATGAGCCAGAAGACAGTTAGCTTAGCGTCACACCCAGTGGAGTGAGTCTAGGAAGTTAGCCATAAAATTACCCATAAAGATATAACTCAACATCATATCACCCTATAAATAAATATCATTCAATAAAACTACTACTGGTCATTTCAACCAGGCAGTAAGTAAGTAGTTAGCTTTCTGTTGTTGTAACAGTTGTAACAGTGCCAGTATACAGTAAATGTCAAAATAATAAATTCTATTTTGGCAAAAGTTAGAAAAATACATACATACAATATGATACCAAAAGCAGCATCAGTGTTTTTGGCCACAATTAAAAAAAATCATAAATAGGATGAGAACAATAATCTGAGTGTCTAAAAATGTAAAGAAAGTTTCTGTACCTTGAGCAGTGACGGCAGGCTTCTCTGTTTTCTGATTAGGCTGCACAGCAGAGGTAGTTGTGGGTTTCTTGGTGGTTGTAGTTGTGGTGGTCGGGTCTGGCTGCCTGGGTGTAGCAGGATTTGTGGGCCCTTTTGGTGGGAGCGGAGCAGCAGTTTTGGGAGGCGCAGCTGTGCTTTCTGCAAAATAAAAATAAAGGGTTTAATTTCAGGATTTGATTTTAATTCCATCTTTTTTAGTAACAAGAGGTGCAGATGTTTACCTGCCACGCATTTCTTCATGTCAGGTCCCAGGACCATGCCATCAGGACAGGCACAGGTGTATCTGGGAGACTGTGGGTCGTTCTGAGGGGCAGGTAGGCACAGGAACTCACAACCTCCATTTGTGCACCAGTTCGAACCTAAAATAAAACAGGGAAGGCATTAGAAAAAAAGATTCTAATTTCACAAATTATTTTTTAATATCTCTAATGTACAAATGTTTCCTTACTGGCTGGCTGCTTCAGGTTGTGGTGCAGTATGATGTCTTCTGGCTGGCCCAGGTCGTTTGCCAGCTCAGTGATGTCGCTTCCTGTCAAGCGGTTGGCACTAAACACAGCAGCGTTGTTCATGTCTGTCCAAAATACTTTCTCCTGTTTTTAGAAAGAAATACAACTTGAGTTAAACCGATTAAGAATTAGTACAGCGCTCAACAATTGAAGCTCTGGCTTTGTATGTTAAACCATTTCAGATAAAAACCCTCCATGAACTTTGTTAGACTTGGACTGGCTGGTTTTAGCAATTTAAGAAAACAACTAGTGTTGCCAATAAGTCAGGCAGATTTGTGGTTCCCGTCCTGCAATCATTACCAAAAGGATTCATCCTTAGTGGCACTTTAATCAAATAACAACAATCCCTTTGACCTTACTGAGTCATAGTTAATCTGGGAATACACTGCCTTCATCACTAACCTCAAAGACTGTCAGGGAGAGTGGGTGGGAGAGTTTTTCCTCATTAATAATGAGACTGTGTCGGGCCCCTCCATTCACATCGATGCTGGAGAGAGAGTGCAGCTTGGAGTCCACCCAGTATAGACGTTGGTTGACCATGTCTGGTAAGAAAATGAAACACACAAATAATAGTTTTGACTACGATATTTTCATTACACAGTAAATAAAAATCACTGCTAAAAATGCATTCAGGAAGCTGTGCTTACCCAGGGTGATGCCATTCGGCCACACAATGTTGTCTTTTACTAAAGTAGTGCGATCTGCACCGTTCAGCCCACTCTTCTCAATCTTAGCTTCTTCACCCCAGTCTGTCCAGTACATCAAACTAAAGAGGACACAGTAAAGAAATCATGAGGCTAAAGACAAAACGCACCAGTTCATGTCAAACTATAATACCGGTAATACATTTTATTTATAGGCGCCTTTCAGACCCTCAAGGTCACCTTACAAAAACACATGAGCAATAGCAGCAAAAAATATATATTAAATATGGTAAAATAAAATTTAGACATAAACAGTCATAAAAGTATAAAGGCAAATATAAAAACTGGGCAAGGTAAAAATGGACTCAGACAGATCAGGTGTATGCAATTCTAAATAGATGAGTCTTGAGACGTGATTGAAAAGTGGTGAGACAGTGTGTGGTCCGGAGAGCAAGTGGAAGTGCATTCCAAAGTCTCGGGGCAGAACAACTAAAGGCTCTGAGTCTAATGGTAGTCAGGCGAGCAGGTGGAACTGACAGAAGGGAAGCTGAAGAAGAGCGGAGTGTACGAGGGGTGAGTATGTATGGAGAAGATCGGATAGATATGGAGGAGCAAAGTTATGAAGCGCTTTGAAAGTGAGAAGCAGGATCTTGAAATTGACACGGAGGTAAATTGGAAGCCAATGGAGCTGTTTAAGAACAGGTGTTATATGTTCAGTGGATCTAGTGACATTAATGTAAGGAAACGTACTCGCTGTGATGTCTGTTTAAACACTTACTTGTTTACTGGATCGACTGTGATGGCTCGTGGCTTGTCCAGGTCCGTTGCGATCAGGGTCTTCTTCTTACTGCCGTCCGTTGTTGCTACAGAAATAGTCTTCAAAACACTGTCAGTCCAGTAGATGTTGCCATGGATCCAGTCCACCGCAATGCCCTCTGGGGCCTCTATCCCACTTTCAACCACCACATTGTGGTGAGAGGAATTGCCAGCCACATCTATCATAGAGCTGTTTGGAGGAAGGCAAGAGTGGAGAGATTAATTTCATCTGCATCATGGGTCTTGAATGAGAGCCACTCCATACTATGCAAAATGAAGCAAGAAACTCATAAAGAAATGTAAAAAAGAAAGGACACAGATAAAGATTCTTACCTGTAGATTTTCTTCAGAGACAGGTCAGACCAGAAGATCATCTTGTTTGCCATATCCATGTCGAGAGCCACTGCGTTCTTCAGCTGTGGGATCACACGCACGTACTCGCTGCGGTCCACTGTCAGCTTCCTCACCTCGTGTTTGATGGTGAAGTACAAGGTGGGCACTGTGCCTGGTGGAGGCAGAGGAGGACAGTTCGGTTAAACTTGCTTGTCTTGTCTGAAGGTTGCGTCACAGGATCAAGCGTTAAGTGGGTTTAAGTGGGCTTTCTTTCTAACATTACCTGAATCAGCCTTGCAAGTTTTGGTCGCAGGGTCAATCATATAGCCCTCTTCACAATCACACTTGTAGCTGCCTGGCAAGTTGATGCAGATCTGAGTGCAAGTGTCTGGCTCAGCACATTCGTCAATGTCTGCAGAATTGAAGAAGTTGGCTCATTTGTTTGTTTCTATTGTGCACATTGTTAAATGACATGTTTACGATCTGTCTGGTTCTTAAGAGGCAGAATTTTAAATGTCTCCGTCCGCTCACCTTCACAGGTTTTGTTGTCGGCCTTCAGCCTGTATCCAGCAGGGCAGGAGCAGTTGTAGCCAATCTTCAGATCGTTGCAGTAGTGAGAGCAGCCGCCATTTCCGGTCAGACACTCATTGTTGTCTGCAGAGACAAACAGGCAAAAAGCTTTCAAATAATATTCACGACAACCAAATCCTTAGCTGACCGGGAATTTACTCATTCAAACCACAAGCTATGTAGGTCAAGTCAGGTATTCTAGTCATATTTCCCTACAGGCTGGCAGCCATGAATGTGTACAAGATGACTTCACTTACCACACTCTTTCGCTGGTTCATCAGACCCGTCCTTGCAGTCGTTCTGCTTGTTGCACACTTTCTCCGTGTCGATGCACTCCCCACTGCGACACTGGAACTTGTTTGGGCCTTCACATACTGTGGAAGAGACCAGGGGAGTATGAATGAGACCGCAATGTAATCATGTGGGACTTTCTTTCTTTTCAAGAAAGAAGCTTTTGATTACAGTTTGTGGGTGAAACTGAATGAAATCTTTTTACCTGTATCACATTCAATCTCATCAGTGAGGTCCCCGCAGTCAGCACGTCCATTACATTGGAGGCTTTTGTTAATGCAGGTGCCGTCCTTACACTGGAACTCATCTGAGCGGCAAGTGGAATGAGCTGGAAGAGAAGGAAGAAGGTAAATGAACGAAAACACAAAAAGAGAGATGGAGAGAGAGAGTAATGGAATAGAGATTAGAATAAGAAGAAACATAATACCTCCAGAAAATATTTACTGTCAGTCTCCATTAAAAATGTAATGTGCAGGTTGGCTTTAACAATAAGAAATTTTTAAAAACTCACTGCAATTAGCCTCGTCCGAACGATCCAGGCAGTCGAACCCTCCGTCACACTTCCAGTTGCCGTGGATACAGTCCCCATTCGCACACTGGAACTCGTGAGGTCTGCACGTCTTCTCTGGCTTCCTTCCTTCACAGTTCTGGGGCCACTCGTCAGACCCATCGGAGCAGTCTCTGTCTCCATCGCAGCGCCATATCGCAGGCACACACATTGAGTTGTTGCATTGGAAGGAGCGAGAGTTACAGGTGGGTTTGGGACAGGACGCCTCATCTGAGCCATCTGAGCAGTCGTTGTCGCTGTCACAAACAAAGCTCTTGGATATGCACTGGCCATTGGCACAACGAAACTCACGGTCGTCACACTGCTTGGCCGCTGTGGTGAAACATGAGAGGAGGATAGGAGTTAGAAATCGATCAATTATGATATCAATAACAACACTTATTACATATTTATTTATATGTATTAACTAGACTTCAGGATTATAAATACACTACTAGTATTAGCTTTTTTTTTTTAAAGATTACTTGACTTTAAGTCTGTTCTTCAAATCCCTTTTGAGATATTAATATTATACATTGAACAAAATTCATTCTTGCCAAAAACACTTTCAGTTAGTCGTGTCTTGTTTGTGGATGCTTTAGCATGAACTTTGAGGTGTAGAAAAACTCGGCTCTGGTAGAAAACTTACTGCAGTTTTTCTCATCAGCGCCGTTAGTACAGTCGGCTTTGCCGTCACATTGCCAGTCTTTTGATATGCACTGGCTCATGGGATCGCCACAGTTGAACTGCGAATCCCGACAGATTTTGACTCCTGAGGAGAGAAACATGAAGCGTGACTCATTTCACGTGACCACAGAGAGACACAGCTTTTTGTTATTATGTCGTAAAGCTTAACAATCATTTACTTGTAGAAGCTGCAGTGACTTTGTTAATGTGTTTCTGATTCCCTGTGGTGACAGTTTGATCCAAAACTATTTTCTAAATGTTAAAAAATCATCAGGAAATTGGTCCGTCAAGCATAAAAAAACCTCAAGAATCCCAAGTGTAAGGTGTAGCTGATATGTGATAACATACCGCAGCTAGCGGGCAGCTCATCAGTTCCATCACCACAATCATCACTTCCATCACAAATCCACCTGCGGGTGATGCACCTCCCATTTCCGCACTTAAACTGATTGGCGTTGCATATGTAGGCTGCATCTGTGAAAGACAAAAATCACAACTGGAGTTCAGTGTGACGTGAGGACAAACTGCCACCCTGGTTTACATTCAATATCACCAGATCTTCTTATCAGCACTCATCAATTAGCTCACAGCTTATTGGCCCTAAAAAATGTTATTACTGTGCTGTTAATGAATCACTGAAAAATACACACGGAGGGAAAAAATTACAACTGAAGGCCACTGAGGTTCAGACAAACAACGGTGTAAAAAAGAAAACAAATCCAAATGTGCTAACAAAGGAAATTTGTTAATGTGTTACTCAGAGTCAAAGACAGTGAAGTACGGATAAGTGATGCTGTAAAAAAGGGAGAGAAAAAACAGGTTTTACTTATTGCTTCACTCAGGAAATTAACAAATTAAGTTATTGACACTGTGTCTCATGTTAGAACTAATCAAAGTGACTTCAATATAAAGTATTTCGACAAAGAATTATTCCCCCCGAAGTCATTCACATGCAAGGCCCAGTTTTTACAAACTTAGTCAAAAGATATAGACAAAAACAGAAAATGTATTCAGTCTCGTTTCTCTCTTCAGCAAAGAGTTGTTTATCTGGGTAAATACCCTGGTTTATGTGGCTTAAACGTGTGCCACATCAGATGTGTACAGATGGACCATGGCAAAGCATCGTTTCATGTAGGAGACAAACGTTTCACTACTGTGTTTAAAAGTTTAAAGCTTTGCAACCTTAAACTGACCATGGTTTCTTTCAGGCTCACAGGTCGCGGCGGTCACCTCAGTGAAATAGCCATTAAAAAAAGCCGGACACTGCCCCAAATATGCGTCATCCTCCATCCCCTCCTCAGTGCCTGTCCCTCCTGTGACCTGGAGGCTTAGCTTACTGTCAGGCTATCCCTTTAAGACAATAGCATGGGAGGAGTTGAACCATCACACCACCAGTTGCTGATTGGTCCCAAAGTGGCATTCCTCATAACAGCATCACCACAGTGACCCGCAGATGGAGGCGGAGGCTCTAAACAGAAGAAATTCTGTCATCCCAGAAGTGTAAATGAGTGATGACGCGTTACAAAAGAAACAGAACAAGTCTGACTGATTACGATAAGTTGGTGCGGATGGTTATAGCACAAAGAGAGGATGCTTTCTCAACACTTGATATGTGGCCAAGGGTTGCCTCCCTGCTTTTCTGGCACTGTGAAAAGTAACACTGAATTGAGAAATGTACTGTATTTCTTGTCTTGCTATTTTAGCAACATTTAGTTGAGTCTCAGTTTCCCTTAAAGGGGGGAAAAAAACGCTCTGCATGTCCACTTCTGACACAAACGTAGGATGAAGCCTGGCAAACAGCCAGCAGAGGTTCCAGGAACAGACTTTCCAAAACATACTAAAGAACTAACGCACATAGAGCACGTCATTCAGTGCTCAGTTTACATCTACAGCAAACTTTAAAGAACTCTCACTCATTTCCCCTTTATGAAGCAGCCATTTAAATCGAATCCACTGAAAAAAAGGAGGAACCAAAGCAGGTTAAAAGCTGCTTCTTCCCGATCTTTAAACTTTCAACCTCGTCCCCAAGGGTGGAAAATATAAACTTCCCAAGCCTATGTTTTCATTTTCCACTGCTAATGTTTCCCACAAGTCTCTTTAGTCTCTCATTAAGACTGCTAAGTAAAATGAGGTTTCCATGAACTCTTTACCGTAAGTCTTTCTCAGAGACAAAATTAAAGTTTGCACCTGGCTGATGACGGTGATATACTGGTAAGTTCTCTCTGTTTTGTGTTTGACATTTTTAGACCTCAATGTTCAAAAATTCCCCAACGGTTCGTGGCCTCGTTTGCCACTTTGTTCATAACATGTCATAAAGCAAATTTGTGAACACTGCAGTTTAAATAGAAACTGATCTTTATCACTTTTAGTCAATTTATAATCTGAAAACTAAGTTCAGAAGTATCACTACTGCATCAAAAACTACCTCTAGTCTATCTAGTCAGCTAGAGCCTTAAAACCTAAGACCACAAACTGCCAGTATGTTTACTAGTTTGAACAGGATGTCAGAAAGCTCAGGTAGAGCGTACTTTGTTTCTGCAAGAGAAAGTGCACCCTCCAGTTTCTATTTATACCCACAGTATAAACCTTCAAAGCCACCAGACCTCACACATACAACACTACCATACTAGGCTATTCAGGCACTACCTTAAACACATGCCCGGCCGCTATGGTTCAGTTCAAAATGTAGTAAAGCTGAAGCTTGTCTGACAGCAGAAACTGGCTTTACAGAATCAGTCACAATGCTGAGTGACAACAATCATCCCTTGTGACTACATGAGACTTTGTTCTCTAACAATACATTGCTGTCTTTCTGTGGTACGTGTCTGCAATATACACACACCAGAAGCCTTCATAAAGAGAAGGCTTTATTTATTCAATCATATACCCAGCAGTTAATTAATAACCAGGATGGATATCCATCACGAGGACCGGCAGCACTCACTTGTGCATTAGGTCTGGATTTATGATGATTAGTCCGGTCATGTAGCTGCACTTTATTGAGTCCAGTGGAGTCATTGCCTGATAAATGAAGACAGTAATGTGCTCGAATGACGTTAGATTGAAACATGCTTTGAACAAGTGCAAGACTTGATAATGAGGTGGCCATCTGCAGAAGAGCAAAACTTGCAATGCTTTACTTTGTAACCTTCAAATAATTTTAGTATTTTAAGCCTATGTAAAGACTATGTTAATGCGTGAATGATTCCTATACTCTAAAGCTGGAGGTATTTCTAAATAATAAATAGGCAAGACTATAAAGTGTCTCTATTTGTGAGTCACTGCATTGTAAAGGTTTCTTCTCCCATGTAGGAAAACGAAGGCTTTTATTACACACACACACACGCACACACACAGACATGCACAGCTATACATACACTAGCAAATATGATGAATGGAAGCGGAAATCTGAAAAGCTCTTGTTGGAGAGTACAGATTTTAGGGAGGGTTAATGAAGCAGGGGGCAAAATTGTGCTGCAGAACATTGATTCCTCCGAGGGAGTTCACTCATTCAGTGACCATGTTTGAGGACGACAATGGGACGATGTAAGGATCAGCCCGAGACTTAACATGGCACAAAAGCCTGAATGCTAATGATATGAGGGAACAATTAAACACGTTTTAAATACTGAATCTTCATTAAATGAATGTTTCATTCCCTTTTTAATGAATGTTAATGTTTCATCGTGTTAAATATTCAATTTAAGCCAGTTATGGGATATATCCGCCTTTTTATTATCTGCTTTGTTCAGTTAATTCTCTTTAGTTCATATTTGTACTCAAAGGTTTCTGCGTCTCTTCTGGCTCAGTTTCCCCCATTTTGCGTCACAGTGGAAAACGTAGGCTACATCCTGTCTTCTGTGAGGCCTGGAAACCTCTGAGTGTCCAAACTGTCCATTAACATGTACATTAACTCATTCTTTATGCAGTCAGTAAAAGTACTTCGAAGCTATTTCCTCGGATATTTTTCAACAAATGTGCGCAGCTACAGTAAAAATGCAGACTTTCTTGCATCCAATTTCCTGCATCCCGCTTGAAGGAGGAAGCCTCGCCTTTCAGCCGCACCCTCCACCCCTCCCAGCTCCATTCGTTGACAACGGCCTTTTTGGGCCACGCCCACCCGAAACTCAAAGCCGGCCGGCAAGTCGAGCATGGTTGGATGTTCTGTTTCATTTTACAGCGAAACGAACCAATCAAAACGCCGTGCGTACATTCATTCATATATGCAGAAATCGTAAACCACGTTGTGGAATTATCGTCAAAATTATTGACTTGTACATCTTTATGTACCGATACAAAGAATCAGGTTATTACACCTTTCATTAAAAAAAAAAAAAAAAAAAAAAAGAAAAGAAAAAAAACACGAGAAAGGAAATGCAGTTACCGTGAAATCTATTTCCTTACCTGTTTGAGGCAAACAATGAATAAGCATCAACAGACACCAGCAAGCGGACAGCCCGGCGAGTCCCTTCCAAATCCCAAACATGTCCCGTTTCTTCTTATATTGTCAGCTACAAAATAGAAGTCAGCTGCGCGCACATATGTGAAAAAAGAAGGAAGAGTTCGCGGTTGTATCTGTGCGTAAAAAGACTCCGGAGGAGACAGAATCCCAGAGCAGAGTCACCCAGTGCTGGTCCGTGAATGTCGACTGTGAGCAAAATATATTAAGGAGCCCGTGTCACATCTCACCACTTTCTATGAGGCTGGCACGAGGGCGGTGCCAAACCAGTGGTGTGATGTTTGAATTTGGCCTTGAGCATTGCTTGGGGGTGGAGCCTACTGGTTCCATCACTCCACCATGAAAAAGCATAGCTTCCTCCTGTGTGTGTGTGTGTGTGTGTGTGTGTGTGTGTGTGTGTGTGTGTGTGTTTTAGAACGTATAATATGTCTGAAAGGAAGAGGAAACTCTGACTGCACTATCTGTAACACATTGATAGCACCTTTTACAAAAAAGCCACAAAAGATATCACATGCAGTCTCACTACAGCCAGACTGACTGTGATGATAACACTTTGGTAAATGAAAACAACAAAAAGAGCAAGTGTGAGAGTGTGCTACAACATGTGGAGTTAAATAGTAGCAAGAAAGAAACAGTGATGAGAGCCACACACATTTAGAGTGTGGTTGTTGTACAACTTTCAGCCCCCTCCACCACCACCCTTTTATTCAACCTAAATTCCATATTAAAAATTAACCAGACAATTCATGAATGATTCTAACACAAAAATGACTGAAAAAGCAAAATAATGATGAGAAATAATTCATATTAATGGGCCGAATGCAGCGCAGATATGTACGATACATATCTTTGTACTCCATCAGTTTCGCTGCAGCCTGACCGCTCTCCTGATCATAATGCCTTGAATTGTCGGGATGCTTTAACGCTGACAAACTGCCATACTTTAGCTTACTGTATTAACCAGGTCTATGCAAAGGTTATTTGTGTCAACAGTCACTGGTCGATCTTCAAGCGCAGGCAGATCATTTGCAAAGCAAAATATCGGCTTTATAAGTGAAGCACTTTGTTTGCTGCAGAAAAAGCTGCAATTTACTGGAATCAGTCAGGTACTCTGGGGGCGAGACGCCTTCTTCCCTGGAAAAACCTCTACAGCCAGGAAAAGTGGTCTGCCACATCACTGTCTCCTCATCCCTCCCCATAATGCTTACTTGATGTAACTCCTAAAAATTGAGTGTCTGGTTATACAGAAAAGTGATTCCAGGTTTTCCTGGCATGTTTTGGGGAAAATCACATTTTTAATAGGTTTGAGATCAGTGCCAATGACAAAGAGAGAGTTTTGCTTCAGAATACATGGACATGATACATATGTAGAAGTCAAATCAGGCAGATAAAGTGTTTTAGTGTTTTTAAAGTGCTGTGTGTGAGTGCTCCCAGAGTAAGAAAGAGGGAGGAGGAGCTGGGCTTGGCTCCTTGTAGGGGCAGGGAATAATCTGTGGGAGGCATTCCTGGAATGTAAAAAAAGCAGCTGGATTACATATTCTGGTTCCCGGCATCCCCCCACACACTGCTAACACACACAGAGGCGCAGCTCTGAAACCATGTGTACACTTTAAATAGTGCCTACATCATGGCCGGTACCTTTAGTCAAACATCAACTCTACTTACTTCCGTAGAGGCCTGTGAGTCATTAGAAAGGCTCCTTAATAATGACTTACAAACCCCATTTTGTCCCCTAATACAAACACAGTATCACCACTGCTGTTAACAGGTTGGACCTGTTCCACTCTAGTGTGACACTGGGCCACCTGGACCTCAAACTGCTAAATGGAAGTAAGCCATTATTTTATTTTATTTCAGAACAATGTCAGTGAAAACATTTTTTTCTAGCATATACATATTATCATTATATACAGTTGTTATAGATTTGGAATATACAGTGGTACCATGACTGGGGGGAGCATGGGTGCAAATAAACCATATGCTGTTTCTCGTTGCTTGTTGCCATTAACATGATCTTGTTCTTTGACATAAGAGTGGGAATGTTATCCAGCATCACTCAGTCCTAATTAATCAGCAGCTTTCTGAATTATTGCCAACATTCTCCATCTTATCCTGATGACTACTGTGTCTCCAAGTCTCCCTATCTACAGTGTTGGTATTCTGTGTTCACACCCTGATTGCCAATCACTGATTCGTACCCTGAATTGATATTTTGCTTCCCTCCATTAGCAAACATATTAATAGTTGAAGATACCAGAGATGGAATAAATAGTAGACTAGTTCCTATAAATCTTCCCTGCTCTGTGAATTCAGGCAGCCTTGAATTCTTATTGACGCTCTTCTACTAAAGAGAGAACTGGACTCAGTCAGAAACACACCACATCATTAAATGCCTTGAGTTGTGAAAATTACGAGTGTCTCAGGGCCAACAAAGCTGATAAGTGTGCACATGCATACGTAATTCATGTGCACACTCTGATGCCCGAAGGCCAGATGTGATGGCAAAGCAGCTAATGTCTAACAGGTTCCAGTTAAAATACAACTAACAAATCAGAAATCGGAAGAGTACAAACACACACGCTCACACACTTACACAACTTTTTCCAAGAGCACGAGTGTGTCTTTATCTCAGTGTTGTGTGAAATCTTTGCAACTCACAGTCTTCCCCTAATTCAGGTCTGTCTCTGAACATTTGTGGTTCTGAAATCATATAACATTGTCAGCCAAATCGTTTTTCTACTTAAAATCAGCACGTCTCTGTGCTGCCTGTGAACACAGTGGAACTTCCTTTAGAGCAATAAATTATTTTATTGCTGACAGAAACGCAGAAGTATAAAAGTTATTGTGAAGCCATTAAAGGGAACTCTTCATGGACTTGGACTTCAAGCTTCTTCTGACAAAAAGCTCTTAATATAATTTAAAATTATACAAGGAAAAGTAAATAAATAAAATTACACACATATGTCCATGTTACCAGATATGTGTGCTGTTTGTGTGACGTGTATGTTCACTGCTTTGTCGTGGCAAAGAAGCCCAAAATTAGTGTGAATTACTTTTCCACTGCTACTGCTGCTGCTGCCCCTCCTCCCTCCGCAGATGTTAACAGCTGCTTTTAAGTTGCTGCAGGGGCAGTCCAAGGGTTTCTAGAAATAAGGAAAACTAGTTTGTCCCCTTCCTCCTCTCATCCTTATGAATCAACAGTGTGGACCTTCTGGAGTCTGCGATGTGTACATCTCCTTAGGCATACTGTACATTCAGGAGCAAACATTTTAAGGGAATAGCAATGCCGTTTGTCATCTGCAAGAAGAGTTTCTGTTTTGATTTGCTGGTATCACCATACTTGGAGTGAGACTGTTACAACATCTACTTTTAGATTCTCTTGGATGCTTTGACCATGGCAGAATTAATAAGAGGATTAAAGGTATAAATGAACTGAAGGACTCCTGATTTTGTACTTCTGGGATTTTTTTTTTTTAACTCACTGAAGAAAGCTCTTTGGGTGTATGGGCTTAAAATCACAGCCAGATCTAAAGAGCATGAGTGTGAGTTCACTGGGTCAAGCCTAACATATTTCTTCTATTTGTATGAGACTTCCTCCTAGTGGTGAAATTGGATAATTACACCTTCCCACGTGTTTCATGGAGGGAAGAAATAAATAGTTTCCCCTGAGATGTTTCTTACTTAGAAGACTAAAACTTATAAATACTTCCAAAACTTACTTATTGGGATTTCTTCTTGTTGGCCTCCAGCTGTTAGGAATACAATCTAATGGAGTAACATCATCAGCAACTAACTTTTCAGTTCTGATAAATGTGCCAATAATGCTGAGTAGTTGTTTATATTGAAAATAATTCTTTAAAGTTCTTTGTCCAGCATAATCTAAACTTCACACAGTCTCACACTAAAAAAAAAACAAAGCCGTTTAAAAGCTCAAATGAAAAAATGCCTTTAATCTAAAAGTATGCCTAATCTATGTCTCACCATATTATCGGCCCCTTAGTATCAACTGAGTGTCAGTTTAGATCATTTCAAACTGGTTTCCTGAACATGACAATGAGTTCATGTCACAGGGTGGAATGGACAAAGTTTAACTTATTATTTTTATTTCCTTGCATGTAGTGTTTTGTTTTATTCTTTGATTTTTATTTATTTTTAACATGTAGTGTTTTATTTTGTTGGGTTTTTGCATGCTTTTGTTTTGTTATGTGATTTGTTCCGGGGAGATGCCCTCCTGATCATTAACCTGGCACACCAGAACGAAGAGTCAGACAGGACGACGACGATCCTGTTGGTTTCTGCGCCGTTTGGACTCTTATGGGACTTGATCTTCATGGCTGAGGCTAGTGGATTTTAGCTGTATTGTTTTAACTGCTTTTAATGTTTTTAACTTCATTTTTCTGCCTGGCCAGAGTATTTTAGTGCTTTATTTTTGTAAATAAATTATAGTTTTAACAACTTGAGTTTATATTTACTACTTCCCTTGGCTGCTCCACTGCTCTTCCCGTCAGAAGGGTTTCCCTTCTGTTTTAAACTTATCACCCGTTAATCCTCTATTACATTAACAGTACTCAAATGGTCTCCACAGCTACCAGATCATCCAATGAGGCACCAGTGGGATGTGGTGACATGGTAGATTTGCAGGATGGATGGGCAGCTGACAAATCTGCATCAACGGTGTGACACTGCCACGGTTTAGGTTAGAAACCCCAAACAGTGATATCCGCATGGAGCAAGATCTCAGAGGAATGCTTCCAGCATCTTGTTGACTTTATGCCATAAAGAATTGAAGCATTTCTGGAAGCAAAAGGGGTCCAAGCATGACATTAATGCCCATGATGAGTGTATGTAAACAACGCTACATGTGTGGTAGAAGAGGTAACTAGCTATGTGTCCATAAATTATAATGATTTTGCAAGCGGTACATCCGTGCATTGAAATTATAATCTGAAAATACTCTATGCAGTATATCCAACACCACACAGCCACAGAGGCAGAAAAAGTGCAGAAATAATGAAACTGTTCTGAAGTCCCAAAGTCACCACACATCAGCAGAAGAACAAGTTACAGTACTCATGTATTACAACCTTGTGATTCCTGAATTCTACAATCAGCAGTTGTAAGTGCTCATACTGGAAGTGTAACAGGTAAGCCGCAGCAGCAAGGTTTTTATTCTGTAAAGTAGTGGAGAGTGACTGGGCCTCAGCTCCATCGAACCTCAGACAAATAAGAGCTTCTGAGAAGTCTGGAAACACCCTGCGTACACAGCTGGCTGACTTTCCAACCTAAACAGTCAGAAACATGTGATGTACACACACCTCAGGAATCACAGCAGGTCCAGAGACTGTTGTCACAAAACATCATCAAAGTGAGGCAGAGGTGAAACATCAGCTCTGTTCATATCCAGAGGATATACGGAAGGTCAGGCAGCAGCTTAAGACTGTGTTAAAACACAGCTCAGTTGGCCTTCAGTGTTTACTTCCTTAAAGGTGTGACACAATACTGAGTAAAGCACAGACTTCAGGTTATGTAAGGAATTATTCACAGTTTGTCCAAGAATTTGAAAATACAGGTAACTGATTTAAAGGAAGCTAATGTTTTAATAGTGAAACTTATGATGGCAATATTTGACCTTAAGACCCATGTTTGACATTTCAAACATTTTCTGTAACTCAGTGAGTGTTACATGGTTACGTTTATTCCAAGATTTGGTCATGTGTCCTCCTGTTGGCATCCATAAGTGGATACGACAAAACAGACAATTGGTGGCAGTATAGTAAAATGTAGTATTAATATTGGTCATCAATACCAATGCATTAACTTTTTATATATAACTTTTTATACAGGTCTTGGTGGCAGGTTCAATCTCATAGCCCTCTTCACAATCACACTTGTAGCTGCCTGGGAGGTTGATGCAAATCTGAATGCAAGTGTCCGGCTCAGTGCATTCATCGATGTCTGCAAACAAACAAATAAAAGAAAGAACTTGGCATCTTTGGATTCTTAAAAAAAGTAGTTTCTAATAAACTTTCTTAAATCACGTTTATGACCCATGGCCTGCTTGTTAGGGTGCAGAAATGTGTCTGTTAGCTCACCTTCACAGGTTTTGTTGTCTGCTTTTAACCTGTATCCAGCAGGGCAGGAGCAGTTGTATCCAATCTTTAGATCGTTGCAGTGGTGAGAGCATCCGCCATTTCCGGTCAAACACTTGTTGTTGTCTGCAGAGACAAAGAAATATTTTAAATAATATTCATGAACAAAAGATGATTAGCCAACTGAAAACTCACATGCAGAAGCTTTGCTAATGTGTTTCTGAACATAACAATCAATGATCAGTAATATTCAGATAGGTGACACATAAAAAACACTTATTTAATCTAACACCGCATCTTTAGTAAGTCTGCTCTTTAGCAATGAATATGGCCCCCACTTCTTGTATGATGCCTGACAACATCGGGACATGCTATTAACGACTGATGTCATCGGGTATCTCCTCACAGATCTGGACCAGGGCATCACTCAGCTCCTGGTCAGTCAGAGGTGCAGTATGGCTGTGTTGGATGAACTGAATCATAATATCTCCAGAGCTGTTCTTTAGGATTAGGCTGCACAGCAGAGGTAGTTGTGTGTTTGTTGGTGGTTGTAGTTGTGGTGGTTGGGTCTGGCTGCCTGGGTGCAGCAGGATTTGTGGGACCCTGTGGTGGGAGTGGAGCAGCAGTTTTATCTTTAAGGGGAGGTGCAGCTGGCTGAATTTCAAGATTTGATTTTAATTCCATCTGTTTTAGTAACAAGAGGTGCAGATGTTTACCTGCCACGCATTTCTTCATGTCAGGTCTCAGGACCATGCCATCAGGACAGGCACAGGTGTATCTGGGAGACTGTGGGTCGTTCTGAGGGGCAGGTAGGCACAGGAACTCACAACCTCCATTCGTGCACCAGTTTGCACCTAAAATAAAACAGGGAAGGCATAAGAAAAAAAAATTCTATTTTCACAGATTCTTTTTAATATCTCGAATGTACAAATTTCCTTACTGGCTGGCTGCTTGAGGTTGTGGTGCAGTACGATGTCTTTTAGCTGGCCCAGGTCCTTTGCCATCTTAGTGATGTCGCTTCCTGTCAAGCGGTTGGCACTAAACACAGCAGCTTTCCTCATATCTGTCCAAAATACTTTCTCCTGTTTTTAGAAAGAAATACAACTTGAGTTAAACCGATTAACTATAGACAATCATTCTTTACAATACAATTATTATAGTTCTACAACTGTTTATAACTTGCATAGTTCATATTTCATATTTCTGTATAGTTTTCATATTTATATCCTGTACATAGCTTGTACACTCACTACAGCCTCTACATACTTATAGTTATAGCATATTCATAACCAGTGTTGATCAAGTTACTTGAAAAAAGTAATCAGTAACTAATTACTGATTACTTCCCCAAAAAAGTAATCCCGTTACTTTACTGACTACTTATTTTCAAAAGTAATTAATTACTTAGTTACTTTTATAAACACGATTTACAACCTGAACAGGTGATAAAGCGATAGATCTTTCAGCCCAATTCTACTTTTACTGCATAATCCATCATACAAAATGTAATCAAATGGAAAAGTCTCTTTTTAAAACTTGTTTTATTAGTTTTAATCTTTTAACTTTATGCATCAAGCAAAAATTAATTATATGCAACATTCTCTGACTTGAATAAATTAGTTTAACATTTAAACCTATTTTCTGCACATTCCAGCACATAAAATATTTTTTGTGTTTACACTCACTCTTTCAAATAGATGCAAGTAAAACACAGCAGAAAATAAATAAAGTCAAAGACTCAGCGGTCCTGTTGCTCTATTTTCACCTGTAAAGCAGGAGTGGTAGGCGGAGGTTTACCCTGGTGCAGGTGTGCCGCGGTCAGTTGAAGAATCCGCGAGTTTCTCTGTGAGTTTCCCATTACGTCGTTGCGCACTTGCTTGGAAGTTTAGGGGTTTTTTCGCTGTAAAAAGAAGTTTTCTTCCCACGCACAACGGACGCTAATGTTTTTGTCACTTTTTATGGAATCAAACTCAAAGTAAGGTCAGTACTTCCACGCTTTAAACGCTGCACGCTCATACTCTCTCCCACAATCGATATGTGATCCATTGTTGATCTGCACACAGCTGTTGTCACTAACGGCGCACTCGCTTACGTCACTGTCGTGAGACATTCTCGCAAAAAAATCACGGTTTTAGTAACGCAGTAATGCAGCGTTCCTACGCAAAAGTAACGGTAATCTAATTACCGTTTTTGCAATAGTAATCCCTTACTTTACTCGTTACTTGAAAAAAGTAATCATATTACTGCCCATCTCTGTTCATAACATACCTTCATACTGTGTACATTGTAACATACCTATAATAGACCCATTTTTGTAACATATCTATATATCTTATTGCTAATATATATTTTGTAATATATCTATTGCTAAAGCACTTTATGGATGGATGCAAATGCAATTTTATTGCGTTTGACAATAAAACTGAATTCAATTCTATTGTATTCTATTAACAATTAGTGCGGTGCTCAACAATTGAAGCTCTGGCTTTATATGTTAAACCATTTCAGATAAAAACCCTCCATGAACTTCGTTAGACTTGGACTGGCTGGTTTTAACCGTTTAAGAAAGCAACTAGTATTGTTAATTAGGGCTGAACGATATATCGCATTTGCGATAATAACGCGACATGATCAAGTGCAATTTTCTAACCGCAAAGGCTGCGATTATACTCTGGACATGTCCAAATTCATGGGCTGCATCCTCCTGAGGCCGCATTTGTAGACCGATTACGTCACAGCGACGCGCCGAAGGCTGTCCAAATTACTGCCATATCCCAGAATTCATAGCGCGGCCCAGCCAAACTCCAGTTTCCAGCAATGGCGGCCGCTACTAAGTTTTAAAATTACTCATACTAATCTTTCTGGGTCACAAAATAAACTTTTAACATATTTTCAGGCGAGAAAGTAGTTGTGTAAACATCAAATATCTGCTCGGTTTATCAAGATATCCCATATTTGCAAAAGTGCTTCGACGTTTTCAGAGGCGTCTGCTAGCCACCAGCTCGACAGCTAGCCGGGAGCTCGAGGGTTACTGATGCGGCCGAGAACAACACAACTCCCGGCACATCATTTTCAGATCACCGCGGAGTTTCGCTGCTCGGGTTAAACGTAATATATAAGTCACTTAGACAACCTAAAAATGTTATTGTTGGGCTTTTTTCAGTGTTTTGTTTG